CGAAGGTGTTGCTTTCACCCCTACTTAAAAAGGGTTCGGAGCTCGGGTATAGGGCTTGAGACGAAAATTTTGAAAATCTGAAATCATTGAAAAACGCCAGTACAACTATTTATTTGATAAATAATCAAAGATAACTAATTGGAATCGAATAAATAAATTTAAATTTACTATTTTCGCATAAAAAAACAACCGAAAATTAATTCTGACTTGACTCACTTACCTGTCTCCAGTAGAGTCGCCAAGATGTCGCGGTCGTCTTTCGGTTGGGCCCCGAAATTGGGCTTGAATAAATGGGTTAGAGTCGCCACCGATCGTTTTAAAGCGAGATTTAGGTAGATCAGTCACCATCTTACCTGATATGCGTTTTACCAAAGTTATGACGGATTCGGAAATTGGTTACGGTCAAAGAATGATTAGCACCCCCGAACTGTCCTTTCGGTACCAATTAATTTATCGGTTGTCTTTAATTGCGAAAATTAAAAATTTAAATTTAAATTTAAAAGTATTCGATCTGAATTGTTTACCTTTGATCGGTTGAATGCACCCTATATAGTCAAAATGTTAGATTTTAAAAATAGAAACAAATATGAAAAAATATTAATATAATAATAATAACAAAATAAATAAAGAAAATAAAAATAAATAAATAGTGTAAAAAGGAAAAATAATAAGAATGCAACAAAAAAAAATAAAGTATTTCCTTCGATAATAGCATATTTACCCAAATAAATAAGTTTTGGAATGAAACACAGAACCTATGGAAATCCATCAAACTTGCTAATAATTTTCAATTACATAACGCCTCCCAATCCCAAACAACAATAGTCGATGGAAAAACCAGCATCACTCACTATATTATGCCGATAGGTTCAAGGGCTTCAACAGTAACCACACTATTTCCTCTGATCACACATGTTTTTCTCGGTCATTTTTCCTCTTGATGCTTGAGTCTATTTATAGTCTAAAGAAACCTATTTTTAGCTCAGATTTAGAGTCCTACTTGCACTCAAAATGTTTCGGTTTTAATGTTTCAATACGACTCAAATACATTAGCTTGTTTTCTGAATCTCACTAAATCGAGGTTATTGAGTGTGGGGCCAGTGAAAATAATAAAATAAAAATATTACTAATAATAAAAATAAATAAATATATAATATAATAAAATATTTGTATAGACCCGAACAAAAACGGGTATCTACAAAATTATCATGCACCTTTTTTCTTTTCCCTTAGCGATTACATCTTATAATTAAAATAAAGTAAAAGATAAACTTACGATACGAAATACTGATAAAGCTTTCAATTTTGATGATCTTGCACTAGTGAAGTTGTTGCTTTCAGTGGGTACTTAGAGATTGTTTTATTTATGACGATTATTTTGTTAATTTAGGGAATTTTTATTTTTGTTGATCAAAATATTTAGAGCTTATAAATGTTGTTGTCGATTTATTTCAGTGTATTATTTTAGAATTATTATATTTTATGATATAATATGCAAATAGAGAATAAAAAGATTGTTTTAGAAATAATCTACATGTATTAAAAATTAAGGAAATGTTTTACAATCACACATAAACTATGTGTATTAACAATTAAGAGAATGTTATACAACAGTTGGAAGTTCTAGAAGATATATATATATTATAACCTGTGTGTTTATTTCCTTCATTTTAGCTCTAGTGATTCAATCCAAAACTCATAGGGTAACTTTCAGAAGTTGAATGATAGATAAAGAAAGGTAAATTTTAAGTTGTTAGGATTTGTAGTCATTTTAAATGAGTATATAAAAATGATAGTTATATATTTAAATATTTTATTACAAAAGTTTTTTTTATTAATTTTTTGAGTTTAAATCGATAATTTATATGTTAATCAATGCATAAAACCAAATATTTGATTCTAAATTTTATGTTTTTACAAATTATAAAATCAAACAATCCTTTAATAGTAGTTTCATGTGTTTTAGAATTATTTTTATTCTAGAGGTTAATCATGTCGTGATTAATAAATGTTTTGAATTTGTAGATCAGTGGAATGAGTGTTTCTGAATGTATTAATAATTTTTTTTATAGTGTTTTACGTATATGTGAATTAGAACCTTGAGTATTTGATTTTAATCTTTTAAGTATATTTAATAATCGATAATTTAAGACGAGTTAAAATTATTTAATTTTGGGTTCAAACTTTAAAAATATCTTTTGCTTCTAAATTGTAGATATTTTCTATTTTTATACTTAAATTTGTATTATTATTATACTTTGTGTTTCTTACATTTATTAAAATTCAATAATAATTAGTTTGTGCAGTTGCATTAGTATGTATCTTTCTCAAGTAGGTTTATCTTTTTTGTAATTTTTTTTAAATTTATTTATTTTAGTTATTATTTATCTTTATGATTTTTTTTGTATTTTTTCATCTCAAATATAAATGATTTTTTTTCGATTTTGAAATCTCTATATACTTGAGAAAAATAAAAAGAGTAAATATTTATTTAAAATAATTTTATTTTAAGATTCTTTATTTATTTATATATATGAATGTCATATTAATAAATTGATAATAAAAATAGCGTATTGATTATTTTTAACATGTTACTTAATTTTAGATAGTATGCACTTTTAGTAGATGCTTCAGTGTAGAGTAATAAAATCGATTGTGGAGTTGTATTCTAAATTTCACAAAAAATATTATATGTTATTGAATTATTAAAAAACTTTAAAATTCTTAGAGCTAAACGGAAAGTCCTGCTGAATGCATTAGATAGGGTTGAAATAATTTTTAAACTCGGCAAGTATAGGGAAAAAACTATTGCATGTTAGAAAAGATAGATTAAACCTTCATAATTTTATGACAACTGGAAGGGCTGAATTTATGCAATAATGTAGTGGGGAAAAATTGTTCGAATAGCGCACCTGTAAGATTATTTGATCGAATGGGGTGAATACTATAATATAGAACGGAGTCGTATTGGGCTCCCTGTGTCTCCTCAAGATCTCATGGAACACCATGCGACTCCCTCTTCCCCGGATCTTTCTCCCAATATTTTAGCCTTTTGAATGCTTATTACAAAGCCTTTAATTTTGCAATGTAGTGGAAAATCAAAAAGCATTCAAAAAAGGCAAAGCAAAATTAAAGGCGGGGAAAGACGCATGGTGATCCGGGGGAGGAGGAGTCGAATAGTGTTCCATGCGAATTTGGGAGACGCTGGGAGCACAATGCGACTATGTTCTATATTATAACATTCATCTCATTCGAGCAAATAATGTCTTGGGTGCATTATTCGAACATTTTTTTCCGACTGCATTATTGCAAAAAATCAGCCCAATTAGAAGTTCCTTAGATATAACTAGAAGTTGGAAATAAATTTATGTAAGTTAACAAGTTTAAAATAATAATAAAATTTTAAATTTGATTATTTACATAAATTTGATGTATAATCTCTTGTTATATTTAACAAAACTTTTAGTTGTTACAAAAATGATGATGGTCTCATTTATCTGTCTTAACATATAATAGTATTTTTCTATTTTTTTTAAGTTGAAAGCTATTTCACTTTGATCTAGTACCTTATTAGGATCTTTTGTTCAGCTTCGTGAATTTTTAAGTTTTCTGATAAATCAATAGTGGTAGAATCTATAATATTTCTTTTTGAATCTTGCAGCATAACTTTATGATGGATTTTATTATTATGCACGAAATTATCTACGGAGAGTAGATAATACTACGCATAATATGTTAAGAATTACTAATAAACTATTTTTAATGATTTACCAACACATCATATATACACACATAAATAAATAATCTTAAAATAAACTTAAACTTGAGCAGTCATATTTAATTGGTTGGTCAAACTGCTCATATTTATTCTCTCATATTCTCTTATGCATAAATCAATATTCAACACTTGCATTTTTAAAATAATAATAATAATAAATATATTCAACAATTGCACTCAAATTCAAGCATAGCTAAAATTGGCTTTTCTAAAACAAGTCTAGTGCAGGGGAAAGCCAATACAATTATGATGTGATTTATACATGAGATATGTTCATCTTTTTCAAGAAATAATAGTACTATGTTGGTTTATACCAATGATAAGAAATATACATACCATACTATTAGCGAAGATTGCATCAAGGTTCCTTGTTTTTTCAAGCCCCCAAGTTCAAAAGTTAAATTACAGATTTAGGTCATGAAATCTAACATGATAACTTGATTTGTGAAGATTAGCATACCTGACATATTTGTTTTAACACCTTCCTTGCGTTTTGCAAATTCTAAAAAAACATCGTTGCGAAGTTAAATTGGAGATTTGGATCATGAAATCAAACATAGCAACTAGATATATGAACAGTAGCTTACCTGTAGGAATCTTTTTAACTCCTTTTCTGCATCTATCAATTTCTGCTTTGCCACAGCTTCTGTTAATGTACCTTTCTTGTGATTGACCGGTATGTTCATGATATCTTGCTTAGTTCTATCAAGTTCAGCTCCCACAGCTTCCATATCTGTCTTAATTTTTTGGAGTCCAGCTGGCCATGGTTTTTTTTTGCTCGTAGGTAAGGCTTAAGTGACCTTGCAGGGCCTTCATCTTACAACCTACAGACAATGTCAATGCAAGGATTTAAGGTATTATTCCCTTCAAATAAAGGCACTTCATAAGAGAAGTATAGGCCTTTGCTTACAAATGCCATAGTTCAATCATTTCAATTACAAGTTGATAGACTTTAAGGTATTATTCCCTTAAAAAAAAGGCACTTCATGAGAAAAGGGTAGGCCTTTGGTTACAATGCCATAGTTCAATCATTCATTTACTAGTTGATAAGGTATTGTTCCCTTTAGAAGGGAGAAGTATCCTCACAGTTGTATCTAATAAGAAAAGGTGAGGGTAGGAATAACCCTTACTTTTATAAAGCAGAGTCCAATCCTTTCTAATTAATGTGGAAACTTTTACCTTCGACATATATGTATAATAAATAACAATAATGTGCATTGAATATGAAGTACTAAGTTCAGGTAAGAGAATCCTTTTGAGGACTCGATCTATCAAAACTTTGGCACTGTCCCCCACAGATTTCCCCTTGATACACTCTTCGTAACTCACTGCTTTCCTGGTCGGTGCTGGTTGTTTCCTGGAAGTTGATGATTCAATGCTAAAAACGGTTCCCTGGCGCCGGAGCCGTTTCAGTTTGCCCTTTCCTTTAGATTTTGATAAGTTATCAGAAACTAATTCCCGGCCTCCTCTTGCTCACACTAGGCATCGAACTCAACGAGTTCACCAGGTTGTTACCGGGCAACAATAGTTGCCCGTTCACTCCATGTTGATCTCTTTCGTTGCTTCCACTTGGCATCGCGCTTGATGAGTTCACCTGGTTGTCACCGGGCAACAGTTGCACGTTCGCTCCATGTTGGTCACGATTATTGCTTCCACTCGGCATCGAGATCAACAAGTTACCCCAGTTGTCATCGGGCAGTCTATGTGCTAGAAGTGACTGTGTAAAGTTGTTTAAGAATGAAGTGGCGCTGTCCCAAACAATGTCAGGGCTGCTGAGTTTGCACGGATCTGGGAAATTTAGCTCAGATCAGAAGAAATCATTGGGCAGAAAACAGCCAAAAACACTAACGATTTTTCACATTTGCAGAACAAAAATAGAAAGAAAGAAGCAAGTAAATGACACTGAAATTTCTTTCAAACAATTAGATATAAAATAGAAAGAGTATATGAAACGAAATTTCCTCAGTAATTAAAGAAACCAAAATTAAAGGAAATTCAGCAAAATTAAAGCAAGAAATGTGTAGAGGGCGACGAAAATGAAGTAAATTCAGTAGTACGTATTGCTTTGATATGTGTGTGTGTTTCATTGTGCCTTTTCCACTTACCCTGATGGAGGTCTCCTAGTGGTGCGTAAACAGAATCCAAAGGGTCCCTGGAAGGATTCCAATCATAGCCGTTCCTCTTGAACTGATCCGCGAAATTTAACTCGGATCAGATCAAATCATTGAATAGAAAACAGCCAAAGATACTAACCATCATTGAATCAAAACAACGGAACGGATATAAAACTACAAACTAACAAAATGATAACGATAAGAAATGAAATGAAGTTTCATCAAGTAAACTAAAGAAACCATTAAAGGAAATTATGCAAAATCCAAAGCAAGATTAGATAAATGAATTAGTAAATTCAGTAGAAGCACTTACTGCTTTGGTGTAGTGAAGAGAAGAACGGAGAAGGGCCGGCTGCCAAAGAGTAAAACAAATGAAATGAAGGAATTCATCGATGGGGGACTTAATTAAATGGGAATTGCCATTAGAGAACGCGAGAGATTGCAAGCTCGCCTGTATAATTTGAAGCAAGAAGGGCCTGCGTTGCTTCTTAAAAAAAGTTGACTAAAAACACGGGTAAACTTCCTATTTGATCACCCAGTTATTCTTGCATTTTCATTTTAGTCATTTAATTATTTTTTTCTCAAAATCATTCTTAACGTTACATTTTATTTTTATTTTGATCATCGGCCGTTAGGTTTAACCATTTACCTAACTGAAATAGTGAGATGGCACGCTATAATAACAGTTTTAATTTTCATAATTTATACATTCTATCAAATTGATCTTAACTCAAAATAATTTAATAAATCCTCGATATATTGACTTTATTTTAATTTAAAATAATCATTAAATTATTTAGAAGTAATCAATAATTATTAAAATGTTTGGATTTGAACAATTTTTGTTCTTGGTTGAATGAAATATTAACAAGATTTGGAGTTTCTTTTGGATTTGATACCAAATATTGACAAATTTTGTACATTAGGGCCTTACATTAAACTCACATTAGTCAGCTTCGTTTCTTTGATTGTGCTTTTGGTTTAGCAAAGCGATGACCCGGTATTTTTTGTTTTTCTTTTGAGAAATTTAGGTTTGGCTAAAGTACTTTTATGTTTTTCTTTTGAGAAATTTAGGTTTGGCTAAAGTACTTTTATGTTTTTAAATGATCATAATTTCTTGATAATAGACAAAACTAATAAGGTATAATGTAAAGTTAAAAAATTGATACTAAACTATAATTTTATTTTATTTTTTATAATTACGGTTAAAGCTGATGATGTCATATATTAAATTAATAAATAATATTTAATTTTATTTTAATATTTTTAATTTCAATTTTATTTTAGTGTTTTTAAATAATAATTAAGAAACTAAAAAACATTTTTTAAAAGTATATAAAAATTCATAATTTATATGTTTGCCTTTCAAATTTACTTAACATTCAAAGGTTGGAATGCTTTTATTAAATGCTAACATTGAAATTTCCGGAACCTGATTCATTTCATTATGTTCTTAAGATCAATTGCAAGTAAAAGTAGAAATGTCAAAAATTTGTTCTTACTCAGGACACAGACAGTTCGAACAAGATAACAAAGTACAGCAGAAAACATTCCAAACGCATTAATTATAATTCAACGGATTCAGAAATATTTTTAAGAGTGAATATGCATATGTTAATAACATAAAATTAATATACGGAATAAGCACAAATAAAATTTTAGGATAGATAAAATCAACAAAAATAGATAATTAATTGAAGAAATTTAGATTATATACTCAATTTAAACTTGAACGTTCTTAAAATAAGATGACCAAATTTCCCTCATACGATAGAAAGGATTGTAAACTCCTCGAAACTTGAATAACCTCTTATTAATCATTCGATAAGACTTGTTAAGACTCATAAACTACTAACATATTTTATATTCTTTTTTGCAAAGAGGTAATTTTGTATGTATTAACTCCGCCACATACAAAATTGGATAAAAAAAATGAACCTCTTTAGAAAATCTCCCTAAACTTAAACCGAAGAAAGAGAGTGGCCATTTCAATGTCAAGTTACAAGGTCATAAACACGAAACACATCACGACAGTATCCCTCACAGAAAAAATATTAACCCGCAGACAACCATTCACCCTATAGAACAAGCCTTGCGATGAGCATGGGAAGAAACGCGATCAGTCCCACAGTTTGGATCGGGGATGGCGGGACAGTACCATCCTAAGAAACCGACCAGAAGCCAAGCACGATCACAGCGAAACTGACAAGGGAAGAGAGCAGTGCTGAGACGCCTAGACAACCGCCGAAACACACCTTCCATGCCAGTTAAAAGAACCAGACTACAGAGTGTGAAACACGAGCGCAGAAAAAACAGGAACTAGCCGATTACCCACGCTTAGACACCACCCGAATCAGAGGCAAAAGCTGCTACATATGCAAACAGAAACACCAGGCAAAAATACTCGACCCAATAAGGCGAACATTATCAAAAACGAATACCCACAGGCACACAACCTCTACAGAAAGCAGTAGCAAAAACTTAACCATTAGTTATCGGAGGAACCGCGAAAACACTGGCAGCTTGGGGGGGGGGGGGCTTACAAAATCAGATATGGGAAGAACACATTCAGGCCATTTGTACTTGGACCATACAGCAGTCCTTAACACAGCCATGTCGAAAATAAGCTCTGCAGAAATTCTTTTGTTGTTAAACAAATAATCACTTCTATTCAGCTAGATGGACCAAAAGAAACCAAATAAACCCATTTTCCAAATTGGTTTTGCATTGCGTTTGATCGGAGCACCGTTCCAAAAAGGAACGAACTGAACCTGGAGTAACAAAGGACAGTTTCCAAAACTGCCACCAGCGAGCCCAGATTGACCAGGAAACTTGGCAATGGCAGAATAGGTGAATGACAGTTTCGGGACATGAATTGCAGAGCACGCACAGCTGAGAATCTTGGACCCTTACCCCTCGATTCAGCAGTTCCACAATAGTTGGAATTGTCTCGTTAACTGCTTTCCAAACAAAGATCTCCACTTTAGGGGGAGCAATGTTTGGCCAGACGATACTCCAAAACTTACTTCTTTCCACACCCTCGCATGAAATCAACTCGCAAAAAGAATTAGGGTGTGTTTGGTTCACGGAAGGTAAGATTATCAGTGGGAATAAAAGATTACCAGGGAATAGGATTAACGAGAATGTTATATTTTGTGTTTGGTTAGTTTAGCAGGAATTTAAGATTATTGTGTTTGATAGTGGGAATAAAAGATTACCAGGGAATATAATTACTGGTAATGTTGTATTTTGTATTTGGTTGGTTTAGTATGAATGTAAAATTACTATGTTTGATTAAAGGAATAAAAGATTATTAGAATGTATATTTGACCAAATTATCCTTATTATATATTTATTTTTTTAACAAGTTAGAAAATATTTATATATTTTTAAAAAAAAATTAAATTCATAAAATTTATATAATTTTTTTACAAAATTAAAAATATAAAAATGTTTAATGAAAGGGTAAAATTTTATTTTAACCACTTAACTTCATATAATATTTTAATTATAGATTTTTTTTGTAAATCTAAAATAGTTTAAGGTTAAATTTGTAATTTAACTTTCGTAGAATTTTTATTATTCAATGATTGAATAAGAATATTTTTGAAAGAATTTTTTTAAAGGGCATTTTAATCCAAAACACCGGTAATCCAACAATACTTAATGAAAGGGAGGTAATTGACATTCCCGGTAATATATCCAAAAAATCCATTATTGGTAATATAAGATTACCGGGAATGACATTCTCGGCCAACCAAACGGGAGAATGTAGATTCCATTCCCATAGGAATCTCACATTCCCCAACCAAACACACCTTTAGGATGATAGACCCCACTACACTCTCACACGAAATCAACTCGCAAAAAGCCTTAGGATGATAGACCCCACTGCCAACACCCACCCACTTAATACTAAGAAAGGATGAATCATAATCGAAAATAAATCATGTGGTGATTCATGTGAGAGACTTATTCGTTGTTAATGAGCAAATATTGTAATTGTATTAGTCGCACTATGTTGATTGGACTGTTGCTATGTGTGTCATACGGGCATCTGTTTATGTGTATAATCGCGTACGATAAAAAATTGTATGGATATTGGCAATTGTATGGGCAGTGATACTAGGCGATCGCCACTTACATATATGCTAGACAGAGAATAATACTTGATGCTTAGTGATATCCAGAACCACCACTATCTTCGATATCTGATACTTAGTGATACCATGTACAATTACTATATAATATCTTATGCTTAGTGATATCATATACCATTACTATCTAATATCTGTTGTCAGGTGATACCATATAACTTATTGGTATTGAAATGATTGTGTGGATAAGTCCTAGAGTCTTGAACTAGCTTTACGACCTATGATACTCTTATGTAGTATACAATGTTTGTAAGAATGATATTCTTCATGGTGATAATACATGTTAGACTCGTGTATCTTTGTTTATACTTGTGTCACACGTTTATATTTATGGACTGCACAGCATAATATATAGTATAAAAGAAGTGTGTCACTGAGCTTGTAATCAATTTTAGATGTTTATATTTGTAGGTTAGTAGATCAAAATTCGTGTTAGAAAAGTATTGTCATTAAAGGATTACCATTATGTTTTATTCAAAGTACAATATTTAACTTATTTTAATAGACATGTGTATTCATATGATCCTTATTTATATTTATAGTACTATTAGTTACGATAAACATTTGATTGTGTCAAAATATGCTACTCACGATGTTTGGATAGTGACAATTTCAAATCAAAGGATTGTATACATATTTATCACTATGAGTAATATTGTGACTATTACATAATAATCTAAAAAAACATATTTATAGCGTGTCAATTCAATATATTGTTCTCTAACACATACTCATACATTGATTTTGACATCCCTATATCAATGACAATGTTTTGTCATCAATTAACTACATATTAGTCTTAGTGCATTATTATTTTCGAAGTTTTTTTTAAAAAATAATCATATTTTTTGTAGGGATTTTATCATAAATCAATTCATTCATGCCCATAAAATCGAAGCTGAAACAATAATAACTATTATAAATTTAAGACAAAAAATACCCAAACCAAATAAGACATATACAAGAGACTATATTTGATATTATTAAACTTTGTCTACCTTTACAGATAAAAAAAATAATTAGCTATAAAGATAGAGATCACGAAAAATAAAAATATGCGTTAACTCAATCAAAATTGTACTTCAAATAATTTCCCTCAATTACTATTGGGCTTCAACTACCCTAGTTTTGAAGTGTGAAAAGAATCAAAACTCAACTGAGAATGACATCATAAAAGGCAGAAAGAAACTGTAAATTTTCTTCTTATTCTAAAATTAATTATTTTATATACTTATATTTAAAATTATTTTACAAACATATTATAATATTATCAAATGTTACTAATTATTAATATAATTAAATGATATATATAAAAATAACATAATTTTATATTTTTCACTAATAGTAATAATCTTTATATTTTAATATGAAAATTTGAAAAATAAATAAACATAAAATAAATCTGGGATGCATTTACTTTTAGACTGAAAATGGAAAAATAATAAATGTTCAGTTACAAAGACCAAGTGATTCTACTGAAAAATCTTTGACACATTGCTAAGCTCTCTAAATCCAACCTTCCTCAGTTAAATTTTTTCCCAATTTCTCAAATTTTCCTCATAAAGAATCAATTTATAGTTCCAAAATACTTTCTCAAGAAATAAAATAAAATATTTTTTCTGTGGGATTCACCTGCTTCTTTTACGAATTAAAAAAATCCATGCACATTTATTTATATTTATATTTATATTATTAATAAACATTCAAGTCTGATACCACAAATTAAAGACATCAATATCAATTAGGTAAAAAAATAAAATTAAAGGTTATTCAATTAACTGATAAGAGTTTTCTAATCACATAATTGGTGTGATTAATTCTAATACATGTGAATGTAATTTAATGAACAACCTGATTAACATATGTATATAAATACCGATAAATATTTTTAATTAAAAAATTATTTTTAAAAATTAAATTAGTACACTGTTTTCACTAAGTTTAAAAAATAAAGTACAGTACAGGTACAATATCTTAACTAAATACAATTAAATACTCACTAATATTTTTCTTTAGAAAACAATATAAACATATATCATTTTCATTTTTACTATATATACTTAGATAATTTTCAGTTAAAAAATTATATATATTGGTTTAGAAAGTTCAATTACTTAATTTATTCGTGAAATGAATTCAAGAATATAGCTACAAATAATGCAAAATTTTCGTTTATGTCATGAAATATTAAAACGTTAATTTAGTGTTAGTGAGGTCCCAAAATTTTTTCTCTTAGAAATTATAAATTATCAACAAAGCATTGAAAGATGCAATTAAAGAGAAAATCAAAATCAAATTAACTAGATGGGGAAAATATAAATCAACACCCTTAAAATAGCCAAACTCTCTCATATTTCATTGTCCCCACAAAAATTAAAATTCATTAAAATAATAAAATTTAAGCAAAAATACTATAGCAGGACTCATGAAATTAAAACCATTTAATTGGTGGTATGAAACTAACAAGAGAAGGGATTAAAATGAAGGGTTTTAGGGCAATTTTTTGGCTTAAAAAGAATCGAAGGGCCTGTCCATGTCTCCCACGTCTCGTTTCGATTAACCTAAGAATTTCTCCTAAAATACAAATCTTTCTAACGACCCAATGATTAATTTGGGTCCATTTTTTTCATTTTGCAACACTTGACTTGGAAGTTTAACAGCCATTCTCAACTTTCAATATTAGCCTTTGTTTTCCAATTTCATCAAGGGTTTCAAATATTGCCAAATAATTCAATTTTCTCGCCTTTTTTATTTTTTAATATTTGTTTTTTTTTATAAAAGTGTATTAAAAAATAAATAAGAAGAGCCCCACATAGAAACTTACCTTGTGTATTTATAAATCATTAGTTTCACTCCTTTTTTGCAAAACAAACATTAAGCCTCCCTTCATTTCTCTTCAAGCTTTTGTCTTTCTCTTTTTTGCTTCTCTCCTTCCTTGTTCAGCCTGCATGGAGTTTGATGCAAGCTTTAGAGATGATTTTCCTTTCCTTTCTAGCCTTTTTCCGGAAAATAACGCCAGTTCTTCTTTCAAACCACCTGAGTTCAACGGCTCTAACTTTTCTTTGGCCGGTGATGCTTCTGCGCCTTCTGCATCATCTTCCAAATCCATTGTTCACAACTTTATTCTTAACCAAGACCGTGATGCCTGTAACTCAACTCCCGGTGCTACCAACAACGGCTCTCTCCCTAAAAATCCAAACCATTTTCATCAGTTTTCCGTCGATGGGTCTTCAAAGAATTCTTTCTTTCAGGATTCCTCCGCATGCAGCGACCCTTTTGTGGAGCCTTACACCACCGGTGGTTTCTCCAGTGATCTCAATGCTTACATCCCTTCCCTGTCGTTTACAGTACCGGATCATGGTACTCCTTCAAACAATGGCCTGATTTTCCAAGCCTTTCAAACTCAACCCTGCTGGGATTTTTCTCAAAACAAACCTTCAGCTCAACCCCTACTGTCCCCGCCGGAGAACGAAAACCGTCAGAGTTATCAGCAGCAAGAGCAAACACCGCCGTATGTGGCTGCAAAACTGGGAGAAGAAGTCTCATGCGTCACTGCAGATCAAAACGGGAATAATAATCGAAACAAAGTCGATGAGAACGATAACAACAACAGAAGGCTCCACAAATCCAAAAGAGTTATCAGGGATGTTAACAAAACTAATCTAGTCAAAGGTCAATGGACTCCTCAGGAAGACAGGTAAGAAAATTTAACTTTTTCTCCCCCATTTTGTTATGTTTTTGTTCACTTGTTTTGTTTGATTAGGGTTTTCTGTTTCTTTTCCCTTTAAAATCAGGATTTATATGAAGATCTGATCATATATGTGTATGTATGTTCTTTTTTAGATTGTTGATACATTTGGTACAAAGGCATGGAATAAAGAGATGGTCTCAAATCGCTAAGCTGCTGAAGGGACGAGTAGGAAAACAGTGTAGAGAGAGATGGCATAACCACCTAAGGCCCGATATTAAGGTTCTTTTACCTTATTTCCTCTTCTCTTTTCCTCTTTCATCTCCCATCAACACATTAACCATACACATACATACATTCATGATGTATGTATGTATGTATGTATGTATGTATGTATATATATGATGCATATCATATGTTTACATCTATATATATATATATACACACCTTGGATAAAAGATGTATTCAACATATGGACATCCATTCATACATATAAAAATTAAAACTAATTTTTATACATATAAAAGTATATATGTCATTCATCATATGCATCTATGTTGATATACATACATTGAACCATACATCATATGAATGAATGGTATTAGTTGTAAAAATTAAAACTAATTTGTTTCAGTTATGAGTATTTCAAATTTAATTGACACGCGTCGATAGGTAAATGGAAACATTTACATCACGGTTTTTGTTGTTGCTTTTTTTATTTGACGTATTTTCTGAAGTCTTTAAAAATTTACCATTTTATTGTTTTGTCATTATGTGCGTGACAACGCATATTATCATGCAGTTTGGCCAATGCTAGTTAGGCCAAATCATAATTAATTCGTGCTTATCATAACAATAAATTGTAATCCTAAAATTTAATAAAAATTAAGCAGGTTAGTTTTGCTTTTTAAAATGAAGACCATTGCATAAAATGCTTTACATTAAAAAAAATGCTTCACAATATGATTATACATATTGATCAAGCTTTGTTCAATTAGTATTATAATTGTTATAATATATAAGAGATCGTAAGGTTAAACATATTTAATTGTTCAATATCTTTTGATCTAGGGTAGAGAGTGATCTGAATTAATTTAGACTTATATCATATTATATAAATAATTTATATTAATAAATATAGTAACTATTACGTGATTCATTCCAAGGATATAAATATCAACACTCATCGTGCATCACAAATAATAAAGCAGATTGATAAACAATAAAATAATTCATTCTATGTATAAAAAAATGAATATCGATTATTTTCTATAGTTATTTGGCTTTGTTTGAATTTGCAGAAGGATTCGTGGAGTGAAGAAGAAGACATGATACTGATTGCAATACACAAAGAAATAGGAAACAAATGGGCGGAGATAGCCAAGAAACTCCCAGGACGCACCGAGAACACTATAAAGAACCACTGGAACGCCACCATGCGAAGGCAAGAGACGGGTCGGAAAGCCAGGGACGGCAGCACTCCCAAAGTTTCTCTTCTCCAAAGCTACATCAGGTCAGTAAACTCCGCCTCAGCCTCGGCTTCGGTATCGACATCATCGACATCGTCGCTGCAGCCACTGACGACCCAACTCGACAACGCGAAGATGGTGTACGAAATCACCAACCCTGAAACCAGCTCTAACCCACACCTGGTGCAACTCGAAAACTCGGCTTTCAACGCTGCGGGTTGGAAAATGGAAGCTTTTAATCACCATACTCATCGTCAGCGTCAACAGCAGCAGCAGGAGGAAATGGATTACAGCTTCGATGCAAATGTTTACAACGATCAACGCAATCAAAGCTTTGGATCGCTCCTTGCAGAAGGTAGAAGCAGCAGCAATGCCATGGAGAGTTTCGAGGTTCCGATGGAAATGGATTCGTTGAGGAAGGAGCTGGATTTGCTGGAGATGATCTCTCAGGGAAGTCTCTAGTTTATATCATCATAACCCTAACAGAAAAACTTTTAAAGTTAGTGTTTGGGTCGAAGGTGAGAAAATGAATGTGTAATCAAGAGGAACAGACAAGGTTTAAAGTCGTTTTCTTATGACAATATATATAGGGTTAAGAACTGAACTTTGTTTGTTTAAGGTTAATTTGTGTTTGTGTGTTTTTAAGGTTTATGTGGTAATGTTTGGGACATATGTATCCTTAACTTTATCAGGAACTATCAACTGTTTAATTTCTATAAAGTTTGTGTTTTTATATAATCTTTGATTTATCTTTATTTAATTTACAAACTATATAGTATGATTTTTTTAGTAATCTTTTAAAATTATAAATGAATTTATGTAAACAAAATTCTTAAATATATCATATATGTTGGGATTAAATTTCTAATTAATCACTAAAATTTAGGTTGGTTGATATTTTCTGAAAATAAAATAAATTATAATAAAAAATAAAAACCCCATCCCGTAAGTGGTTTTCAAAATTTACACCTCACAAATATTTATCTTTAATCTAATCTATATAATATTGTAAAATGTATTATATATTATAAATTAAATAAATATACTATCAATTCTTTTTCTTTTAAAACCTTAAACGTGACTTCTATTTAATTCTTATCTTATAGGCGAGGACACTAAATTTAGTGTTGGTTGTTGACGTTAATATTTCTTATTTTTCATTTATTGTTTTATATTACATCTTTAACTTTTTTTAATTTTTAATAATTCAATCTTTATGAAACGTTTCTTAATTCTTTTTGTCACATTTTTTATTATTTGGTCGTTTTTTTATTTATTTTTCTTTCAGGGTTGAATTTGATATTATCACAACTGATCAAGATGATGCTTATTTCTTACCATGTTAATCTTCCATGCTTTTGACCTTCAAATTGGATTTGGATAAACGATTTGTATTCGTTGATAGTTTTCTCACGTCGTTCAACTCTGAATTGCGATTTTTCGGTGGTCTCTCAATAGTTTGTTCCATTTTATGGTTTGTTTACCGATGTGGTTAGATCTGTTCACATCTATCTTTTGTTCGAATTTTTTTTGTTAATTTTTTAACATTTTCCTTATATAGTCCTTGTGTGATTTTAAGCGGTTAATTTCTTGTGTTAATAATTATAGAAATATATTTTTATTATATGTTTAATTTACGTTTATAATTATAAATCTTTATTATAATTCTAAATGTTTTTTCTAATGAAACAAACGTTTTCTATAAAATAATAAACACAATATCATAAAATAATATTATTTCATTATCAATTTCTTATATTTTTATATGATGTCAGCGTATTATCCTTAACATATAATTTGATATTACTTTTTCCCTCAACAGTAAAACTCAATTTCTTATATTTTTATATGATGTCATTATTTTAAATTTTCAAAAAAAAATCACGATTTAAATAATGCTTTTATTTTAATATTTTAGTAGTTAATTGTTTTTACCTATTCTAGGTGTGCGTCTATATGCAGTCTGGTGTTAAAATGTATTTTTATTGTGTTACATATGTCTGCCTGAGCGATTTCTTGTGTTATGATTTATTTGTTATTATAATCTATTAATTATTGTATTGTATTCGAATTAAAGAAATTTTGTCTCAAGGCAAGTCTACTTCTCTAATTATTGATTTGTGTTACTCGTGTACTGGGATAATTCTATGATTGACTTTGATAATAATATTGATATTGATTTTGCATGTCATATTATATGTATGTATTATGTTAGGTTGTACAAGAGAAAATTTCTGGTAGTTTATTGCACTGGATTGTGGCTTGTACTAGTATTTTTTGGGCCGGCTCGCACTCGTACTGTTATTCATTTGATCAACAAGCATTGTTTGTATCATCTCATCGTCTCTTGTTTCACATTGCAAGGTTTGTAATATCAAAAGTTATCGACAAATTATATATATGAAAGATATTATTTTCATCATATGTATATATGTACATGTACATCCATCCATTCATACATTATATGCACAGATAGATGGTATTAATTGCATAATGTAAACCAATTTGTTTGCTTTTGGGAATCTCTTTTTTTCTTCTTATTATTAGTCTTGAATATATTATTGACACGCGTTGCTAATTAATTTGAGATATTTACGTTATATTTTTATTAGACATAATGCAATGAAATAACTCTAACTTTTGATAATAGTGTTAAATTTACTCGTATTGTTTTTTTAGAATATTTATGCACTAAACGTTTATTTTTTTGTTAAAAATAACCCACACCGGATGAAAATTATAAAATGATATTACTTTCTCCCTCAACAGTAAAACTCAATTTCTTAAGTACTTGAATTGGTATTTTCTTGCTATATCAGTTTGTAACATAAAACTCATTTTAGAAGTAAAGCTAATGACTTTATTTTTTTTTTTCAATTTTATTTATTAGTTTTTTAGAATTATAATTCATTTTAATGTTAGGATGAATTAATAGTATCTTGATATAACGTACCACTCGTCAATTTCTATGACCATGCATATAACTATAAATGATTAATATAATAAATTTTAAATATTTTATAAAACACGTCAACTAAAGAGATAAATTAATAATAAAAAGGTATAATGTAACAAAATAACCTTAATGTTTGACAATAGTGTCAAATTTATTCGTATTTTTTTAGAATATTTGTGCACTGAACGTTTATTTTTGGGTTAAAAATAATCTACGCTGGATGAAAATCGTCAATCAACTTGCGGTAACGCGAGATACTGACTAAGCACGCATGCATGAAGGGAAAAGTTGACGTGGAAGTCCATGTCATTAAGATCGCTGACGTGACACTGTCACAACTTTTTTTTAAAAATTAATATTCATATTTTAATAGTATTAATTCATATCAATCCGAGAGTGACACGTGTCACTCTCCGATTGGTGCACAATGAAAATTAAATGCACCTGGGTCTCTCGTCGTGTTTTTTTGGCTCTCTGTCTCTTGCCGCCTCGGTCAGGGGGGATTTGGCTCCATCTATCTCGCTACCATCCCTAACCACCACGATGGAAACCACAACAACGACAATCAGACTGTCATCGTCAAGGTGATGGACGTAGGCTCGCTCCAGGGCGAACAGGAGTTCCAAACGAGCTCTTTTTCGTTTCCAAGCTCGACTCTTCCCTCGTCGTCTCGGTCCATGGATTCTCTTACGACATGAAACGACATTGTATGCTCCTGGTTTATGAGCTCATGTCGAACGGTAATCTGCAAGACGCGTTGCTTCATCGGAAATGCCCGGAATTAATGAACTGGAAACAGCGGTTTTCGATTGATGTCGATATCGCCAAGGGACTCGACTATCTTCATGGATTGGATCCTCCGATAATGCATGGAGACATGAACTTCCACGTCAACTTTCTCTTCCACGCGTGCACGCTTAATCAGCACCCTACGTTGATCGTCAGTTGACTGACTATTTTCATTCAACGTGGGTTATTTTTGACCCAAAAATAAACGTTCAGTGTACAAATGTTCCAAAAAAATAATACGATAAACTACTGTCAAACGTTAGGGTTATTTTGTTACATTATTTCTTTTTATTATTAATTTATCTTTTTAGTTGACGTGTTTTATTAAATATTTAAAATGTATTATATTAATCATTTATAGTTATATGCATGGCAGCGTATGGTCATAGAAGTTGGCGAGTGGTACGTTACATCAAGATACTATTAATTCATCCTAACATTAAAATGAATTATAATTCTAAAAACTAATAAATAAAATTGAAAAAAATAAAGTCATTAGCTTTACTTCTACAATGAGTTTTATGTCACAAACTGATATAGCAAGAAAATACAAATTCAAGTACTTAAGAAATTGAAGTTTACTGTTGAGGAAAAAAGTAATATCATTTTACTATGTTAGTTGCATTTTTAAAAAAATTGAAGTCTAAAATAAGTTTTATGAACATCACTTTAATGTAAACTCTATTTCATTTTTAAATTGTAAAAGAGAATTTTTAAAGTTGTAATTTTTCTAATGTATCGATGATTTCATTGAAAATGTGTTATTTCGTTGATATAGAGTGAATTTCGTGAAGAAAAAAAAAACAATATGCGAATATTTTGATATTAAAACTGTCACAAATGACAATTGGTGATGGATGGTGTCTCACTGCCAACAAACATTTTGATACGTGGTTTCATTTTACCGTATTACTGATATCGTATTGAGATTGTGGAACAGTGAATCCCTTTTTAAAATTTGACATCCAATAAATAGAAGATTCAACTTTGAATCTTAATTCTCCTAATTCGACTCTCACTTACAATAAAAAGGATAAATTATAACCGTCCGATTAACTTATCGTTATCTTCAACTAGTCTTAAAATACAATAATTTTTTTATATGAGGATTTAATCATTGTAACTTTAGTCTTGTATGGTTCAACAAAATTAATCTATGCTTAAATAAATAAATAAATAAATAGGCGAAATATAATTATTAAAATAATAAAAATTTATGAATTTAACACAAGTGTTTATCCTTTAAAAGGGTTGAAGTACGGGGGGATGATGTGATATTATGGAGGTTTTAGAGGTTCCGAAGATTCATGGATTGACTTTTTATGTTTGGGTTGGATTTGGATTTGCACGTAGGGGTGTAAATGAATCAAATTTAAATAAATAAGTTTGTGTTTGTTTTCGTTTATTTATTCTTGAAAGTGTTTATGTTTGGTTCGTGTTCGTTTAATTTTTTAGTATCATGTTCGTATTTGTTTATTTATTTTTGAAGATGATCGTGTTTGTTTATTTAATGTTCGCGAACGTGTTCGTTTAATGTTTGTGAATATATTCGTTTAGTGTTTATGAACATTTTTGTTTACCGTTTGCGAATATATTCGTTTAGTGTTGACGAACATGTTCGTTTAGACTAAAAGGGAAAAAGGAATAACGGGAAGAATATTTTTTTGTGTTATAAAAGGGAAAATGGTAAAATTACACAACTAGTTCTTAAACTTCTTAAGATTCATAGTTTAAACTCCAAATTTCATCATATATTCAATTTAAGATGTACCTTCACTAATATTTAAAATAAAAAAAATAAACGAACCAAACACACCTCTGTTCATGTTCATTTGATTAATAAATGAACATAAAAATTTTTGTTCATACTCATTCATTTAGCTTAATAAACGAATATAAACGAACATTATACAAACGGTTCACGAACAGTTCACCAAAAACTCTGTTCATTCACACCCCTATTTACATGTAAGAATTAATTTTTTTTAAAAGGCATTTGAAGTCTTAGGTTCGAACAACTATATTTGTAGGGTACGTATGTGTTGTTAATAGTTAAAAAAATTCTAAATAGATACAATCTTGTAACCATCTAGATTATTAAAAAAATCATTCACGGATGATGCTGTTAAAGTGATCGATGAATTGATTACGAGAGATGTTATGCTTTGGAAAGCAATGGTTAATTGGCACACGCAGGGTGGGCAGTTCAATGAGGCTTTGGGAGTGTTTAAGAAGATGAATTGTATTCATGTTTTTAATTGACAGACACAGTAATCAATACAAAAATAACTAGCCACTCATCCATGGATGTAGAGATTAATCAATCAGATACGACTGTAATTTAGGACACTAGGATTTAACGAAGCAGCAGCTAGTAATTCTTTGTCACGTTCGAATATGTCCATTTCTAGCTGGTCCAAGGTCACCCAAGCTTCTACACCTCCCCATTTTGAATCGAGCAAGACAACCAGATTCTTGAAATCACTTGGACTAGTCACCCATGTCGGCTTTCCCCACCCAAAATCCATTTCATGAAATGGGTAGCCGCACAAGTTTGTACAAGTAAAGGTGTTGATGTCTTCGGATTTGCCATTCAGGAGCTGAGCAATCTGTCTACGAGTCTCGAGAATTTCACTATAACCTTTCTCGCTTTTGATTCCCTTCACCTTGTCGTTGCAGACGTTGGTGAACTCGGTCTTCATCTTAGCAACCAGTTGATGGAGTTGCATATCATCCTTGTGGAACATCACTGCGTATTTAAGTATCAGGTTTCCTATGGTGTTTCCTGGTAAAGGCGGATCCATTCTTTTACGCAAATTCACAACGTTTAGCAAAGCAGACTGTCGAGACCGAGTGGACGATCCGTGGTTTGATCGACCAGCAGCAGCAGCAGCAGCAACCATAGCGCATCTCAGTATGATTGCCAACACGATATCTGCATCCCTGAGGTCCTGCTGCCTTATGGATGTAGCAACCCTAGCTTTGAGATTCGATATCGCCAGTTCGCGAAATACAAACCTCTTCGTCTTGCAATTACGAGTCGTGGGCGGAGGAGGAACGGGTGTGAATACCGTATCTAAAGGCGGTAACAGCGACGCTCCTACAAGTTTCGGTAACTCGACTCTGCCATATTCACGTCCGCTGATCGCAGTCCAGCTCTGGATGAATGAACAAAAAGACGAGGCGTCGGCAAATTTTTGCGAAACGGATATCGCAACAGCCGTTCCGCCGCAAGCGAAGCTGGTGAGTTGAACGAGCAAGATACAAGCCAAAGTGGAACGGATGGCTTTAGGATCAGTAGACGGGACCAACTCCTTAAGCTTCTCGGGATCAGGATTAGCAAGAATGTCCTTGAGCCGGCACATAGATTTAGCTTCCACTAAACAAGCCCCTTCGTCATTGCACTGTATGGTTACAGCATCCATAAGCTGACCGGCAAGCGGGTAGAAATGGAGCAGAATTTCGGACAAGGAGTTCTCGAGTGACCGAGACTTTTGCGAAGTATTGGAGTCGACATTGTCGGAAGGGTAGAAGAAGATGACAGAGCCGTAATGAATGGCAAGTACGTCTTGATCTAAAGCAGAAAGATTGAATGTTCTGAGATGGTGAGGGGTTGGAATGGAGGGTTTGATGGTTTTTCTGGACACAACTTCAACCTTCATTTTCTCCATCACTTTGCTGCTTTCCTTGAGCTTAGTTAATGAATCTGCCTTGTATTGGCTTACCTGTACCACCTCTTTGCCATTTTATATACATATCTCAATAATTAAAGCAGCCATTTACGACCACCACGAAGGAAGAATGCTTTATTTTATTATTCTAGTTTTCTTTGTTTCGTGAGAGGCGTGCTGAGCCGATTTCTTTGAATTCAGGCTGAGTTGGTGAAAATATTTTATATAATAAATTAGTATAAAATAACTAAATACCAAACCAATTATAATGAAATTATTATAAACGATGAATAAGTCTACAGCGCACGTTGCATATAATAATGTACCACTAAAACGAAGTATCAAAACGTACCCCAAGTTAATTTGTCATTATTATGTGAATATTGAAAAGTATAAGGATCTATTTAAAATTAATCAGTTATTAAAATTTAATTATAATCTTAATTGAATTATAATTTATTTATTAAAAATAATAATTAATTTAACTAATTTAATTTGTTTAGAATTAGGATTGTTAAGTTATATAAGTTAAAACCGGCCATCAGCATTAGACACCGTTGACGATCACCTTAACTCGTCGAAAAATTAACTGCTGCAACATCAAGCGGTTTCGTTTGTCGTCACCCAGTTCATCGTCGACCAACAGTCAGTCGTCTCGAAGGAGAAACTCTACCTTTTGCATCGGTCGTCATCTGTTTGTTTTTTCCTTTTTTTATGCACGATGACCTTCTAAAAATCATCCCCGGTCGTTGGCCATCCCAACCAAACCAACCATGACTGTCGGTTATCGTTTGTCCGCAACCGCCGTCACACTTAACTCTCTAGTCATCTTTTCCATTTGTTTTTTAATGGTAAAATTACATTCCTTTCCAACCCTCCTTATTTGTGTTTTATTTGAAATGGTTAAATTACATTAAAAAAACCCAATAGTTTAAATAAATTCTTATTATGTAAATATTAAAATTATAATTTTAATAGAATTATAATTATAAGGATATATTTAAAATTAATCATTTATTAAAATTTAATTATAATTTTAATATAATTATAATTAAATTATAAATTTTTATTAAAAATAATAATTAATTTAAGTAATTTATTTTGTTTAGAATTAGGATTTTTAAGTTATATAAGTTGAAATTATAATTAAATTTTAATAAATGATTAATTTTAAATAAATCTTTATATTTTTTAATATTTACATAATAAAGATAAATTTAATGGGGATACGTTTCGGTATGTCGCTTTAGTAATATATTGCGGTATGCGACATACACCGTAGAATTTTCCAATAAACGATTTAAAGTTTCAAAAATTCGGTTAAACTGAATCCATCTAATCCCTAATTCATCACGTATGTAAAAGAAAAAAGAAAACTAATATATCAAATCCAACTTTTATATATATATATATATATATATATTTGAGTAAAATTCGACTCAAAAAAATAATTTTTTATTTAATTAAATGCTAAAAAACTCTACTCATAACTTCAACTCAACTAATTTTTTAAAAAATAAAGTTTAAGTTATAGAATAGAACTCAAATAATTTAATGTAACTCGAAATTTTTAATAATTAGTGTATTGATTTTTAAGTGTAGTCTCTCATCTTTGTATATATATATATATATATATATATATATATATCACATATGAAGAAATATATATGTATATCGTATATGATTATAGAAAATCGTTTAAATTAAAAATAATTAGTTCATAACATTATAAATATTTACAATTAAATTTAAATAGAAACTCGAATAAATTGACTCAATTCAAATTTCATAAACTCGTTCGATTAGAAAAAATTTCAAATAGTTTAAGATATAAAATAACTCATCAACTCGATTAACTTAAAAATTATTGACTTGACTTGATTCAATCGAATATTCACCCTATATATATCTCACCCACTATGTGATTTTAATATATATATATATATATATATGTCACACCGCTATATGATTTTAAAAATCTATATAGGAGGTCATGTACGTATGACGGCTGAATCCCATCCTCACAGTTACGTCAAAGCATGACAACATGAATATATTATACGAGTGATGATAAAAGAAGATGAAAAACATGTTAAATTACAAAAAATAATATATATGTAATCCACAAATTAATATAGAAAAAAATATTTTTTAGTTTGTTGTAAACTAACAACTCAAATTTCTTAATTCCAAGGCCGACTTAAACTTGGGAATAAATTTTATTAAAAATAAACTTAAATAGATTAACTTTAAAATACACATCATGTTTATGGTAGACTTATATCAATATCATAATATAATACAATTTATAATTTTATTTAATAATGCTCAAAATACAGTTATAACTATTTAGAATTTCATTGTTTTTTTTAATATTGAATAAAAATAACAAAAATAAATAGAATAAAAGTAACTGAAAAAGGTAAATTTATTTTTCAAGAGATGCATTTAAGTCTTGCAAATGTCAAATATCCAGTATGGCCTCTAGCATCAGCAGATGGTCGAGCCATCACTGCCGGACAACTTGGGTTGTCCCTCACACTTCCTTCGCTTGAAGACTGCCTCCTCCTCTTTCCAGGTGGACTGACGGAACCACCGTCTTCAACCTTTGAGCAATCCATTTTCCACTCCGAGACTTCGTATGTTCGAAGTAGTATTTCAAAAGTCCTTATATCTGTGTATGTTACAAACACTTTATGTATATATGTATAGATAGAGAGAACGGTTCCAAGAAAAGTCGGTGCATATATGAAATTCGAATATCAATATTTGTAAATCCTTTTATTCCCTTTTTCTTAGACTGCAGCCTAATTTTGTATTGAAAAAATACTGCAGAAGCAAGAGATAATACACTAGTTTTGGAAAAGCTACCTGTAAAGTTCAATCTAAGAGTTTCACATGAGCGTTGGACTTGTTCGATGCATGGTGAAAAAGAGCACAAAATTCCATCATGTTTCAACATTTTTCCAGCTGAAGGAATGGCCAGCCAAGGCTGTGGTAGGTCGAGAAAGACTGAATCTGCTGATCCGGAAAATTCATCCGGAAATCCCTCACCCTGAATATCTGTAACGCCCACGGTCACTAAAGTGTTCACACCAGTCCTCTCGAAATCCTCTCTGTCAAAGGCAAGAAAAATCGTAAACAGCATAAACCAACATACAAAAATACATATATACATATTGCACCTTCACTGTTACGAATTTACGAGTGCTATTTCAAGCCTTGCATCTAACGCAAGATAAGGTTTCTAACGTCTAGGGTGTGTCTGCCACCCTTTACAACACAAATAGATTAGAGAACGAGACTCTGAAACATTGCAGCTAGAAATGCAGAATCTAACAATACATCAAAGCAATTATCAAATGATATTCCACAAATCTAGTTTTAAAACTTAAATTTCATCAGAAAGAAGACAACAATAACAATGCACTCTCACAGAAGAAAAGAACATTTTCTTACCTAGCTAAGGCAGCCCTCTGTTCATGGAAATCAAATGTATAAACATGTCCTGTAGGAGCAACAGCCCTTGCAAGTGATGTCGTTAACGATCCACTTCCAGTCCCGGATTCAAGAACCAAACAACCGGGAACAATTTCCATGTACATAATCACAAAGCTAATATCCGCAATATAGAGAATCTGAGTCCTATGACTTAGAACCAAAGTCCATAACTCTGGTGTCGGGGCCAATAGGTAAATAAATCCACCCTTGTTGCTAAACACTTTGGAACCAAATGACTTGCCAATCCAATCAGAATGTTTAAATAAGCCGAATCGATTTTGGAAAACTGAATTCTCACACACTTTAACAGCCTTCATAGTATCATGTTTCTCATAGACAATAGCCAAGTCTCCATCTCTAATGCATCGATTGAAACATATCTTCTTCGAGGGATCAATTAACAACATCTTCAAAATTGCTGAATTCTACGAAGAACCAATAGAAGCAAAAACCTGTAAATACTGAAAATATGTTCAATGTAAGCTAATATTCATTAAATTCCGGAAATCCCGTCTCTTTCTTCTTTCAATGAACTTATGTAAATTCAGTCCACTGTAAAATAAAAACTACCAAAGTTCTCTATCCGAAAAGAGAGTAAATTCAACTATAAACGTACACAAGTTTCAAAACAAAAATATTACCACATACCCAGGGTTCCATGAAGATTAAACCATCAAATACAATACCAGAAAGACCCAAATTCATGAAATATATGCAACTACAGACTACATATACACATTCAACCATAAAACGTACAAAAGTGTGCATACAATACTTCCCATAAAGATGGTATATTCAACTATAAACGTTCACAAGTTTCGAAAAAGATATAACCAAATACCCAAAGTTCCACTAAGATTAAACTGTCATATGCAAGCACAAGAAAAGACCCGAATTCATGAAAAAGTATACATATACATTCGAAGCAAGTATGGGGGGGGGAACACTATCAATTATTTCATGAATAGTTAATCTAGAAAATTGAGAGAAAAAGAAATACTTACCCGAAGATTTAGTTTTGACTTAAAAGGCAAGATTTATCAGAGGAAAAAATTAGAAGTTTTCAAGTTTATCAATGGAAGAAGCAAGAAAGCAGCAAAAAAATCGGGGCTTTTTTTAAAACTTGGTCGTGGCCGGATAGGGTTTTGGAAGATGTGTGGGTGTGGTTTTCATGGGCTTTTGTTTGTCGGATTCCATTAAATCAGGCTCAAACAGATGTGCGACAAGATAGATTTGGACCTGGGTTCCATTGATTGCCATGACTAGCTCGGGCCTGAATGTTTTATTCTCTTTTTAAATTCACTTTTCATTCCATCTAATTCGATATATTTGTTAAATTTATAAATATTTAGCAAGTAAAATTGTGATGTTGTTACGTATCTTATTTAGAAGTTAAAATTTATGATTTAATATTTAAATTAAAAATTTAAATATTGGAATTATTTAAATGCATTATACAATATTTAAATAAATATATTTATGATGTATTTTTCTATTATATGTACACAAAATAATAAATTTTTGTAAAATTGTATTTTAATTTTTAACTATCTGCATGGATGTATGTATACTAAATTGAATAAATTATAATATTATAGAGCGAAAATGAATTTATAAAGTTTTAAAAAATAAAAATATTTAAAATATAAAAAAAAAATCAGAAAGACAATCGTTTTTCTTTTGTCTGTCACTGATTAATTGGATAGACGAGATCTGTTGCATACCTAGACTTCCTGTGTATTTATATTCATTTATATGTAAACAATTCATTAAAAAATTTAATTAATTAATAACGTATATTTACTCTATAAATAAAATTATTTAAATTCCAAACCTTTATAAAAAATAATATTTATTTTTTTCCGAACATTTATTAGTAGTATAGTACTTGGGCATCCAGAAATGGCGTAGCTTAATTGGATCAACACATTTTCCAACCAGAAATGGCGTAGCTTAATTGGATCAACACATTTTCCAACCAGAAATTAGGTTCTTCTAATCTCACCTACCACATACACATGCACATCAACGTGTTTGTTTGCCTACTCACTACTACTTGATCATGTTGCTGTTATTTCAATCTCTGCTCTGTTTATCGTCTCCGTAATTATACTCTGAACAAAAATGGTCGGTCCCCTTTCACTTCTCTTTCCAACAATAAATTAGTGTATTTTGTTCATATTTGAATTGATGAACGCTGCTATAAGTGAAAGTTCCAGTTCAGCAGGAGCTCACTTTTCCATTATTCCTTTTCACATTCATCCTCCTCTTCCCATGCATGTTTTTACTTTCAAGAACAATCAAGCAAAAGTGAAGGCCAAACATGAATTTGATTCGATTTTCAGGCTCAGAACAATCATGCTGGAAATGGGTTTTCTTGTTTATCTTTTCTTCGTTAATCTCAAGCTCAGTTTCCGATTCAAGAATCTCAAACTCTACTCTTCTCTGTGGAAAATTCAATCATTTAAATGGAACCAACTTCGTTCCAAGCTTTGTTAAAGAGATGCGAGGCTTGTCAGAAGCCATCAATGCTCGACAGTTCGCTACGTATCACTTTAATTCAGTGCCACCAATCTACGCGTTGGCTCAGTGTCATCGAGATCTTTCACAAACAGATTGCCTTCTTTGTTATGCGGCTTCGAGGGCCAAGATTCCGCGTTGTCTTCCTTTTAACTCGGCTCGAATCTTTCTCGATGGATGCTTCTTGCGTTACGATAATTACAGCTTTTATAGAGAGTCTGTTTCGTCGAGTTTTGATAAAGTTATTTGCAGTTCTGATGATGTAGTGATGTTTGGTCAAGAAAGTACCAAGAGAGTTGATTTGTTCGGTAAGAAAGTGGATTATGCCGTTTCGAGTGTGACTAAGATTGCTTTGAGAGACGGTGGATTCGGGGCAGTGGCGGTTGATGGGGTTTTTGCATTGGCACAGTGTTGGGATAGTGTCCCGTTCGAAGGGTGTCGAGAGTGCTTGCACAAGGCGGCAATGGCTGTCGAAGGCTGCTCGCCCAAGGCTGAAGGGAGAGGGTTGAATACTGGCTGTTATTTGAGGTACTCAACCGAGAAATTCTTCAATGAAAGGGGAGAGACAGAACATAGTCCTGGTATGTCTTGTCTTTTTTGAGGTTTCTGATTTGTCATAACTCTTCTTTATGTTTGTTTTAATGAAAAAATGGATAATGGAATGTCTTTTTTTTTTAAATGCCAGGGTTTTCTGGAATTGCAGTCATAATAGCCATTGTTTCAGCCACATCTGCATTCATAATGCTTTCTGTTGCAGCAGCTTATGTAACTTATGCAAGATTTTCAAAGAGAAAAAAAGGTAAAATCTCTAAATAATCTTCTCAAGATTCATATGCATTATTAAGTATTAACAATCCCTTGCGTTTCTCCTAGAGCTCGAAAATCTCGGCCATATTTCAAGAAACTTCGACAAATCAGGTTTGAAGTTTAAGTATGAAACCCTTGAGAAAGCAACAGATTATTTCAGTCTTTCAAGGAAATTAGGCCAGGGAGGAGCTGGTTCAGTTTTCATGGGGATTCTTCCAAATGGGAAGATTGTTGCAGTAAAGAGATTGATATACAATACCAGACAATGGGTTGATGAAATTTTTAATGAAGTAAGCCTGATCAGCAGGATTCAACACAATAATCTAGTGAAACTTCTGGGTTGTAGCATTGAAGGTCCTGAGAGTCTCCTGGTTTACGAGTATGTACCGAACAAGAGCCTCGATCAGTTCATTTTCGGTAATTGTTTGCTCTTTCAATGATTCAAACTTGCATTTTCCTGACATAATCAGTTTCAATCCTTCATTGTATCAAGATTTCAAGACACACATACTTAAACACTATAGGTCGTTCGTTCTTACTATGTTACTCGGACTCTTCATTTTGCTTTACGTATTAGTACCCGACACATATTCGTACATTGGTATGGGAATATTACAATCCGAGGAACATAGCATTCTTGTAACTAGTTTGAACTTGTTGATGATTTTACTTGCATATGCAGACGAGGAGAAGGCAAAACAACTAAAGTGGAAGCATAGGTTTGAAATTATTGTTGGAACAGCTGAGGGTTTAGCACATCTTCATGGAGGAGGGTCTGACTCTGAAACAAGGATAATCCACAGGGACATCAAAAGCAGCAATGTTCTTTTAGATGAGAATCTCAATCCAAAGATTGCTGATTTCGGACTCGTACGATGTTTAGCTCCCGATAGAAGTCATCTCAGCACTGGGGTTGCCGGAACACTGTAAGTATACAGACTCAAATGTAGGTGTTTGATACGAATATGTGTTTGAGCATACTTAATCTTATGCAGCGGATATATGGCTCCCGAGTACGTTGTTCGAGGACAACTCACTGAGAAAGCAGATGTTTACAGTTTTGGTGTTCTAGTTCTTGAGATTGTATGTGGTAAAAGGAATACCACCTTCTCAAAAGACTCTGCTTCACTTGTACAAACAGTAAGCTCCCAAATCTTGGTTAAAGCATGAATGGAAATGAAATGAGAGCTCTAATTTGTGTTTTATTTTTCTCTCTTTTTTCGACCTCAGGTTTGGACACTTTACAGATCGAACAGATTAGGTGAAGCTGTTGACTGTTGCATAAGAGATGAAATATTAGCAAGAGAGGCCCCAATTTATGTGCTTCAAGTAGGGTTATTATGCACACAGGCCTCAGTTTCTTTAAGACCATCAATGGCAGAAGTAGTTGAAATGCTAACTGGTAAAGATGCTGAAATCCCAGTACCAAAACAGCCTCCATTCTTAGACGCTAATGTCTAAGAATCAGAAAGTTCAACAAAGTCTTATTATAGTTCAGATAGTTTCATATAAAATGCAGTGAGGAAAATTCTAGGTTCGGGCACTTTCTCCGAGTCTTCAAGGACTGGTAGTTCAGATGAAGTATCAAAAACTCCATGATTTGCAGAAATGGAGTTGAAAACCAGGTCTTGAGGGATTTCTTCTTCTTCTTTTGTATGAAAAAGTAACATTAAAATAAATAAATCTGTATAAATTAAAATTTACATAATTTATATATCATAATTTTCTTCATCCTTAAAGCTATTAAGTAGATTGGACACTCGGTATTTGACTTTAATGGTTCCAATAGTTAAAAAGAGTAAGTTGGTAAAAGCTTGGGACCTATTTGCTTAAAGATTTTCAATTCAATTTTCCATTTTATTTATTTATTTTGAATTTTCATTTTCAATGCCAGAGCACTAGCTTCCATAGTAGATTGTGGCATAAATGTTACAATTAGGGCTTAAAATTGAGTCGAGTTGAATTCTAGTATTATGACTCGATTCGAAAAATTTAGAGTTGAATTCAACTCAATTCGAAAAATTAGCGAGTTTAAAATTATCAAGTTCAACTCGAATTTGAAATAAAAAATTGAAGTTTAATCCGAGCTCAAAAAAAATTAAACTTGAAACATTTTTAGACTTAAATCGACTGAAGCTCAAACCAATGACGGATTCAAGAATTTAAAAATATAGGTTCAAAAATTTTAATACTCTTTTTCCAACAAAATGGGTATGCAAATTTTCTTTTTTGTCTCACTCTGTAAATATATTGAATTATATTTAATAATTTATTCAAAATAATGAGTATGAGTATGCGCTTAGGGCAAGTGCATTCGCCCCTAACTCGAACTCAAACTTAAATTCAATTCAAACTCAGTTATGAACTTTAAGTACACAAAAATCTTATATTATGTATAAAATATTGTAATACCCCGAATACCAAGCCAATGACTTTATTAAAAAGATTTAAAATTTGAGGATTTATTTAATAAATGATAAAGTATAAGAAAATAATTTAGAATTTTTTTGTTAAGACCGATTTCTAAGAATGAAAGGGGTATTTTGGTCCTTTAAAGGGGAAATGAGTTAGGGTATTAAAGTAAAGTAAAGGGGAAAAAGGGAAGAGTGTTAATACCTTAGCTATATTCACTTCTTCTTTCTCGTGTTCATGTGTTCTCCTCTATAGATAAGATCATAACCAAGCTCTCGAGTCAAGCAAGAAAAAGGGCAAGGACAAAGTTGTCGAGTAGTTGGACATCACTAC